CACCAGTTCCCTCTTGATTACAAATTCACAAAATAGTCTGCACTTTCCATCAGAAGAATGAGACAAAAATAGCTAATTTTTTGAGTAAAAACTGAAAATTGACTCAAATTTTGACTGTCAGCTCCAAAATTAGGGTTCATTTCAAGAAATATTGAAAAATATAAGAAAATATTATAGATAAATTTGTGCGCGAAAATCTGGTGATGAAAAAGTTAAGGATGACCATAGTTGCCTGCTAACGCTGTTCATTCCATCCATGGAAGCTTTCAGCAGACATTGTATTCTAATAGATGGTATACAAGATACTATTTACACTTTATTATTCTTTCACATCAATATCATAGAGTGGATTAGATTGCAATAAAGATATACACATGTATATATATATATATATATTACTACCGTTTGCAACCAAACGATCATCACGTTCTAATACACATATCATTGAATTAGCCAAGCAATGTATACGATTTAGGTAAAAACCAACCATGATGGAGATACATTGTTTGACACTGGATCCCTTCAAACATTAAAGCGCAGTAGTCTTCGCGCTTGACATTTTCGACATTTGTGTTGATAAACATTGATTTTCCCACAATCCAATGCGCTCTTCAAATGGAAATCACAAGTATGAGGTTTGACCTGGGCGCGACTTGCACTGATTACCACCGGTGACTCCTTCGATACCTACCAATCACATGAAAATTACCTCATTAAAGCTTGGAAACGTGTCAGTTCGTACTCGTTGATCTGCGAACAGTCAAAGTCGCCATCTTTGTTTATATGAGACCCGACGACTACCGCGCTTTAAACAACTGTCTTGGGACAATTTAATTTTCATCTCAGGAATTGTTGTGATTAGAAGATTTATAAAACTTGTGTGTGATAATATTTTGTGAAAGACGTGTCTTTTATTCTTTGCTTAACCCCCTCCCCCCTCCCAGTAAAATTTTCAACTACAAGATTTCTTGATTTTCACTGAAATTCGCAAACATTTGTAAAATTAAAGCAGTTTACAGTTGTACATATTTCAATTGAAATCGCTTTTATGCGACAATTATTCACTTGCATATTTGCTCTATTAGAAGCACATCTCAAATAGAAATGCACATGAACCAAAAATTGCATTTCCAGGATGTTGAATCTTGACTTGTCTTACCATAGAAAAACTTTTAATAGAGCAAATATGATATTTCAAATTGTACGTATCAAACCATTGTCATCAAACATGGCACATGTATGGAGTCAAGATTATAATTTCCTGTTATATACATTAATAAAAAATGTCTTAGGAAACATTTATTTAGTTATTCTATTCTGCTTTCATACCTTTATTTTTTTCTAAATATTGCATAAACAGTAAACATAATCCACCACATGAAGTAACAGAACTTGAATGTCAGAGATCAGAGGACACCCAATTTCAAGACAAATTTTGAAAAAAAATGCCTTGGCGTAAAAGAATAGTATAGAGAAAATCTGTATTTCTTGAAGGGTACCGAGGCAAACTCCTTGGACAAGGAGGCAATTACACTCAATGGCTTTGTCAAATTCAAACCCTGCAGTGACTAAAATACATTTAGAAGAAAGAACTTACAAAATCTTTCATTACATAAAATATCATCTTTTAAATTATGCACTTTAATAAGACTCATACAGATCACAATCTCAATATTT